AGCACGAGTTGCTATCTCACACACGGATCCATTGAGCTTTAGGGTGTCTAGAAAAGCTTTAGGCATCTTGCATGACATCCTGAAAGTATATGAAAGATCGATGGCAACGTTAAGTATACTCTGATAAGGCTAAGAATTTTGAATATATTTATTGTATATAAATGATTGTTGTGCAGGCTATGGTGAGGACAAGGACAGAGGATGCAGAAGATGGTACTTCTGCACGATTGGATAGAATGGAGAGAATGATTATGGAAATGGCGGAGACCCTACGGCAACAACAGCAGTGTTGAAATTTTGGTATGTTAATCCTATCATCATGTGTTTCCTTCATTATCAAGTTGGTATTCATTATTATGAGCATGATTTTGTGTATCTATGTTATGTTATGTGCATGTGAAGCTAAGAACCTCAAGACATGGAAGTGTGTTTATGAGTTTCAACTTTTGGTCCATTGAATTGAGTTGTGTGCATGGATTTAATTCAAGCTAGAGTGTTGTATATTGTACCTTAAATTTCATGCTTTTTGAACCATAATTTGGCAATGAAAAGATCCATTTTAGAGTCTTGCAAACACTCCCAAAAGAATGGGATTTTGATGCAAATTTCGGACCAAAACAGGGGAATCGCCGCACGTGCGGGAGTCACTGCCGCACGTGCGGCAAGTGCTGAAAATTTTGGGTTTGGTTCTGCTTAAAAGGCACGTGCAGGGGCATTCTACCGCACGTGCGGGGGAGTTTGCCGCACGTGCGGGGCTCACAGCTGCACGTGCGGCCCATGCTGAAAAACGTGGATCGCTCCGTTTTGCGTGTAGAACCCTCTAATGTTGTCGGAATATGTATTTGATGCCTTTTAATATGTATAAATTCCTTCAAAGTAAAACGAAACAGAAAGTAATTTGATATGAAAAGGAAACTAAATTGTAAAGGTTGAATGTGTGCAGGGCACACTCCGGGAGGAACAAGCACATCATCACAACACTGTGAGTAGTAGTATCATCATCCGCTTTACATATGACTTATGGTTTTCATTAGCATTTTGTTTAAGCAACTATGTTAATGTTTCAAGTATGTATGTTAATGTTTGACGTATGTTTCAAGTATGTAAAGAAAGAAATGGGAAAGATAAAATACCTTCCTTCTATAAGACTCTGGGCCTACGGCCATTCAATATAAGTTGTTATGATATGAAACAAAGTGCTACACGGAACTAAGTGCTACGACGTGAGCCACCTCTAGAATCCGTGTGAGACACCTCTTGAGTTCGTATAAGCATATTCACGGGCACACCTCTTGAGTTCGTATAAGCATATTTAAGGGCTTTATGCCGCCATGTTTAAGGGCTTTATGCCATCATGTTCAAGGGCATTATGCCGCCATGTTTAAGGGCTTTACGCCATCATATTCAAGGGCATTATGCCACTATGTTCACGGGCTTTAAGCCGTTATGATTTACGATGTGATGTTTCAAGCTTTTATGTTCAAGTCTGGGCCTAAGGCCGTTATGAAATGAATACAGAATCAGGCTAACCATGTGATCTCTGCACTTCCATACGTATTGATATATGTCATGTTTCAAGTTAAGCATTGTTTCATTTAAATATTACTATTCACTGAGCCTGCCTCACTCTCTATATGTCTGTTTCTGTAGGTAACCAACCAGGTGGTCAGTTCTAACCCATGACGCCCGGTTTCTTTTGTCAACCTTCGTGTATCCAGGCACTTACGAAGCCACTTATTTTTTGAAGTTTATTAAGATAATTGGCTTACTTCTTGACCATCCTTCCAAGGTTGAATGTGTATAACTTCAACAGTTTTGTACATGCTCGATTATAGGGCTGGGTCTGTATATGTGTTTGTGAATAAGTACTGCTAAGGAATATTTTTGGACTTTATCGGCCTATTATGGTGCATGTGATGTGTGAGATCCTGGCATATTAGAAATAGTTCAATGGAGTTTGTTTGGTTTAATATTCTTTTAATATTTTGCGCTTCCGATAAGGCCCCATATGCTATATATACCATGTTATATGTCTGTTTTTGAATGGGTCATGCCCGAACTTTTAGGGGCAAGTTTGGGGTGTGACAAGTGGTATCAGGGCAAGAGTTGCTATCTCACACACGGATCCATTGAGCTTTAGGGTGTCTAGAAAAGCTTTAGGCATCTTGCATGACATCCTGAAAGTATATGAAAGATCGATGGCAACGTTAAGTATACTCTGATAAGGCTAAGAATTTTGAATATATTTATTGTATATAAATGATTGTTGTGCAGGCTATGGTGAGGACAAGGACAGAGGATGCAGAAGATGGTACTTCTGCACGATTGGATAGAATGGAGAGAATGATTATGGAAATGGCGGAGACCCTACGGCAACAACAGCAACAACCACAACAACAACCCCCACCACCGGTACCTCCACCTGTAATGCAAGATTTTCATGCTGAAGATCGAACCATTGCTCTGACCAAGGAGTTTAAAAAGATGCAACCCCCATCATTCAAAGGAGGGATCGAACCAATGAAAGCTGAGGCATGGGTGTTGGGAATAGAAAAACTATTTGAAATCTTTCCTTGCATCGAAGCTCAAAAAGTGCAACTGGCTGCCTTCACACTTGAGGATGAGGCGCGGAGATGGTGGATGCTTACAAGGATTACACACCCAGGATTAACATGGGAAAGATTCCTAGAACTGTTTTATGAGAAGTATTTCCCTCAAAGCATGCGAGATAAAAAGGTAACGGAATTCGAAACTCTCAGATAAGGGAACAAAACCGTTGCCGAATACGAAGCCCAATTTGCAGAATTAGCTCGGTTTGCACCTCAGATGGTGGACACGGATTATAAGAAGGCGCGTAAATTTGAAGGGGGATTACGGAGCGCTATCCTGGATAAGGTCAACATGTTGAAGTTACCCACTTACGTTGATGTGTTGGAGAGAGCCGTTATAGCGGAAGGGAATCTCGCTACTCAGAGTCGAATTTCAGAATGGAAAGGGAAGAGGCAAAATACTCAATGGTCGAAGGGGTCACCTACTCCACCAAATAAGAAGCAGACTTTGAGGAGTTTAAATACTTCCACCCCTAGTCAGGAATCAATACCGACTTGTCCGGAATGTGGGAAGAAGCATTATGGGACGTGCTATCGGAAGTCTGGAGCCTGTTTTCAGTGTGGTAAGACGGGTCATTTGATCAAGGATTGCCCTCAAAGAAGTCAACAGAGCAATAATAGGACCGCTAGAAGTTCAGCGGGGTCTGCACCAACTTCCAACACCAAGACAACTGCTAAACCTACTGATAATAAAGACACTGTGAGACAAGGCAGGGTGTTCGCATTGGTTCTGGGAGATGTGCAAAATGCGGCAACAGTGGTGTTAGGTACATTTATTGTTCACGGTCATTTTGCTCATGTATTATTTGATTCTGGCTCCACCCACTCTTTTGTGTCGAAATAATTTGCTCCTAATTTAGATAAAACTGAAGAAAAACTGTCTTATACGTTGTGTGTGTCTTCACCTTTGGGAGGCCCTATGATTTGTACTTCTGTATATACTGCTTGTGAACTCCAACTTGGGGATATCCGGGTATATGCCAATCTGTTACCTCTTGATATGGCCTATTTTGATATTATTCTGGGAAAGGACTGGTTGGGTGAATATGGTGCAACTATAGATTGTTTGACTAAACAAATCAGTTTCCACCCTCCGGGACAATCAGAGTCTACCTTTCAGGGACATGGAGTGACTTCTCCACCTTATTTAATTTCCTCAGCAAGGGCTTGTAAATTAATTCAGAAAGGGTGTCAGGGGTATTTATGCAGTGTTCTAGAGGGGCAAGTGGTGAATGGGAATATCGACATGATTCCAGTTGTCTGTGAATTTCCGGACGTCTTTCCAGAAGAATTACCAGGACAGTTAATAGACCGTGAAATTGAGTTTACAATTGAAGTAGCACCGGGAACTCAACCCATTTCTAAGACTCCGTACAGAATGTCACCAGTTGAGATGAAAGAATTGAAAATGCAGTTGCAAGATTTACTGGACAAAGGATTTATCCGTCCGAGTGTATCTCCGTGGGGTGCACCAGTTTTGTTCGTAAAGAAGAAGGATGGAACACTCCGACTTTGTATCGATTACAAAGAACTTAACAAAGTCACAATCAAGAATAAGTATCCATTGCCAAGAATCGATGACCTATTTGATCAGCTTCAAGGGGCACAGGTCTTTTTTAAGATTGATCTACGGTCTGGATACCATCAATTAAAAGTCAAGGTTGATGATGTTGAGAAGACAGCTTTTCGAACTCGGTACGGTCATTAT